AAACAAACAAACAAACAAACAAACAAACAAAACAAACAAAACAAAACAAAAAACAAACAAACAAACAAACTAACTAACTAACTAATTAATCAATTAATTAATTAATTAATTAATTAATTAAGGAATTATATGGGAATTTAGGAACTGACATTTTAAGGAACTATAAATGTTAAGGACAAATACACTTTTCTGCTTGGCTTCATCTTTGGATGTGCAGAAATATAGCAGAACCCCCTATCCCTGGGATGAAAAACCACAGATTCAGTTATCCACTGTCTGAAAATATGAAATAAAAAAACCCCAGGGATACATATTTATACCTATTTAAAATGTATTTAACAGAACTGGCCACTAGAGGGAGCTAGACACCATACTATGTATAACATTAGCTACTTCCACGGCTTTTTGGCATTCATGGACATTGTGGGGGGTGGGGTTGAAACCAATTTCCTGTGTTTACTGAGGTCCTGCTGTAGTTTCATCCTGAGCTGCCTCCTTCCCCATATTAAGTGAAAGTTGCTGAGCTCCACCTCTTGACTCTTCTAGCCCCTCCCCAAGCAGGGAGGAGGGATTGGAAAGTAAAAATTTAAAAAGTAATTAGTTACAATTCTTAAATGAAAATAGTTACATTTGTAACTGCTAATTTCAAAACTAGCAAAACATTCCTTTTAGTTACTTTTTAAACAAATAAGAATATTATAAGACACTGGTTTGCAGTAGAAAAGACACCTTATTATCACTTCAGTGCCACCAATAGAGCATAAGGTAGCAACATGAGTCAACGCTGTCACTATGACATGCACTATCTCTACTCTTGCGCAATGTCACATTCCCATAACTATAAAAGTAACTAAAGTAGTTGGAGTTATACTGTAAAAGGACTGCAGAAAAGTAGAAATGCGGTGTAACGTAGTTATTCTGCAGTTCTTGCAAAAAAGAAATTAATTAGAAGTAACACGTTATTTCACACAGATTATTTGCTACCTTACGCAATAACTAATTCATGACTCATCTGCAATGACAAATAGCTTATTTGAGACTAGTTCCTCCTGAGGTTGGCAGAGGGCTGTGCTTTCCAAGGACTGTACCCCAGTCTGCTAGCAGAAAAGCTAGCACTCTCATCCATAAAACTATCACATTTAAAATATTTCGTATTTCAAGAAATCAGAGCAGTGGAGAAAAGTTTTTCTGTTTATCCCGGCCTCCTTTGCAGCACCTGTTTTGAGCGGCATTAACATTGTGTTCTCTTCAAATCCTTACATGAATTGTAAATTTGAAAGGTTAACTTACATTTGGGACCTGCCGCGCCATACTTTTAAGGATGGAAAAATGCAACAAAGGAAGAAAACACCACATGTTCCCGACATTTCTGTCACTTGCTCTTTCTTTATACAGCAGAGATGCTAATTCCAAAGCACGGGGGACTTCCTGAGATTGTTTTTTTTCCCCCACCTCCAGTGACTAAACGCAGCATTAAGACAATGCCAATATGGGTAAGGATGAAGACAGCACAGCTTTTCCCTTAATTAAAAACCTTCTGCCTGAAACAGCAGGAATAAAATGCCACTCAAATTAACAGACAGAGCCAGCATCCTAAATAGAGTTCTGACTGCACTCTGTCCATCTGAGAGTGGTAGATTATTGATTATTATTTCTAATATGGCCTACGGAATGTCACAGAGGCTGCCATTAGGGACTTAATCCAAAAGGGCTTAGGCAGGATTGGAAATGCTGCAGTTCAATCCATATGGGGTGAATGAGCCTCCCAAAATGCCAGATGCAGGGGAGGGGTATCAGGAGACAGGTATCTAGTTGTCTTGTGTGCTCCTAGAGGCATCTGGTGGGGCCACTTGTGAGATACAAGAAGCTGGACTAGATGGGCCCTTGG